AATGCCTCTGGTAGGTGGAAATGAATTATCCTTCTTTTCAATTAGTTTCACAATTAGTTTTATTTGGTAATTAATAAAAACAGCTTCATGGTGGCATCAGCCTGCAGGCGGTGTGCTGCCTGCTGCAGCGAGCTGCAGCCACCAAGCCTGTCGAGTCTCACCGTTTCCTCTACACACACATGCAGACGCAACCATGCAACACACACGCACGTGGAGACAAACACACATGTGCAGATTTATCCGTCTGTTCTAATGAATTCATCGTGGGGCGGCAGAAAGCAGAAGCTTTCAGGCGCATTAGCTCCATTATCCTGATGGTTTTATTGTGCCTGAAAATACCTCACTGATTGTATTTAATCATCACTGAATACTTATTACAAATTAAACCGCGGTACAGGCTTGCTGTCAGTTATTTTATTTTATTTTATTAATACAATTTGAGGTGCATTTCCCTCTGACTTAATTGTGTGGCTGCTGGTTTTTTATTATCATTTTTATATTTGGTTGAACAATTCTGTTCGTTTTCATTAATGGAGTAAATCTGTTTAGAATTTGAATTTTCTAAATTAAAATCTACTTCCACTGGAAACAAAGCAGCGTTGTAATTATCTGTGTCCGAATGCAGACTCTGCTGCCTTGGCTGTGATTTTTGAAAACCAAAACACACGCTCAGCTCGCTGCTTACACTTTTTTTTACTTTGAATGCTTGTGAAGCTTGTGAGTCATGGTGATGTGTCACTAAGTGGTGAAGAACACTGAAGAAGCAAGCTGCATGGTGGCGTTCATATTTGAACATACAGAGGATGCAGACTGAGCTGCATTAAACCGTGTTCTGTTGGGCTGCAGCGGCGGACGGGGCAGATGTGGGCTGAGGGGGACTAAAAAGATTCAAGCTTAAATCAAACGTGATGCAAGTGCAGAATTAGCCCCCATGCCAAGCCGCCAGCATGTGCACACTTCCCTGGTTAGTGTGTGTGTTCTCTTTGTGAGATCATAATTCCTCCGCATGAGACACTGTTGAATTACTTTTGCTGAGTCGAGATTTTAGACTATTCAAGTTACAGTTTTAGCCCTCTTGGAGAAACAAAAGCTGAGTTATGCAGCATTATGCCTGCTCTGCACAGGAAAGTCACACACACACACACACGCACACGCATACACACACAGCACTCACGAGAAGTAAATTCACGGAAACCTGTATGAATGACATCTCAGGCTTTTCTTGGGGGCAGCTTTCCTATAAAACAAGCTCTGCATGGGGTCACTTTACCCCACTTTACCCCACTTTACCCTACTTTACCCCACTTCCACCTCGTTTCAGAGATCTTCACAAAAACAAACTTTTTCTTGGTTTAAACACCAAAACCGTCCGGGTTTAAGCAGCTGACGCGGTGTCTTAAACTTTGCGCTGAGATGGCAGCAGACCGTGTAACGATGTAAATCCGTGTTGACGCGCTGAAGCTGTGCGTCAACCAGCCTCCCTGTTCTCCATTAAATGGATGCTGTTCTCCCTACAAGCCACATTAATGGCCATAACTAACTCATCCTCGTGTGCACGGGTCACTGGCCATCGAAGGGATGAGAGGAAAGACATTTGCAGCGATCTGCGCTGCCATGGCAACAACTCATCCAGCACTGGCGCCCATTACGCGTCAGTTCCGCGCTCGCGCCAGAGCATATGGAATAATTGGTGTGTTATTGGTCTCTCGGGGGGCACGGCACGGGCATGTGTGGCGCGAGAGGTTCCTAATTGGATTTATTTGTTTTGATGTGTTTTAGAAGCGTTTAAAAAAGAGAGAAGGAGAAAAGAAGAAGGGAGGGCCGCGACACCTTCCACGTCTTCCGTTTGTTTAACCCAGTTTGATCCCGGTGACTCCCGAGTGGATAACAGGAGTGAGTTTACACCTACAGGAATTCTGATGAAGAGAAATTCCAACTCAGACCTTCATGTCTGTTTCAGACTTTAACAAAGATGTTAAAGCTGCTGCCAGTGATTCCGTGAGTTTACCATGGTAACCAGTAATGGTTCATTGAAGTCATGAGGGGGATACAGGAAGGCAGAGTGGAGCGCAAGCCCCAGGCACGCAATGGCTCCTCAAAAATCTTAAGAACTGTAAAAATAATGATTGAACTGTGGTGGATGGGCTTGGGGGCCATAGCTGGAAAAGGAGTGGTTCATTTGGTATTTATTCATTTCAGTTGTGTCCAAATCAGCGACATTTAGGTTTGATCTGTTCCTATATAATCTTCTACAGTTGTCATTGTAATAATAATAATAATAATAATAATAATAATACATTTTATTTAAAAGCGCCTTTCAGAACACCCAAGGCCCCTTGACAGAAAACACATTAAAACAGCAATAAAACGCCAAGAAGAAAGAACAAAGAGAGAATCAGAATCAGAAAGAGCTTTAAAACGGTTCAATAAGATCAGGCAGATTTAAACACGTGTGTGTTTTGAGTTTGGTTTTGAAAAGGGGGAAACTGTCGATGTTCCTGATGTCTGGGGGGAGTGAGTTCCAGAGACGGGGAGCAGAGCGGCTGAAAGCTCTGCTCCCCACGGTAGTGAGACGGGCAGAAGGAACAGCAAGATGGATGGAAGAAGATCTGAGAGAACGGTGTTAATTTTATTTATTTATTTAACCTTTATTTACCCAGGAAAAAACGTCCCATTGAGATTTAAAACCTCTTTTTCAAGGGAGTTCTGCAGCAAACACCACACGAATATACGAGACAAAATTTACAATTTAAACTTGTATGAAAACAATCTAAAATAAAATTTCTAAGAACAAAGTTAAATTAAATATTTAAAACTTTAAACAAGCCCAAAAATAAAAACAGTCTAAATAAAACAGTTGCATGTTATTGAGTTGCTCTCAAGATTTCTTCGTTTAGATTTAAAAACATTCGATGAAATGAACTCTGTCATCTTCCATTTTTCCTGCAACTCATTCCAAGCTGACGGCGCTGAACGGGCAAAAGCTCTCTTTCCAAGTTCAGCACGTACAAACGGGACAGAAAGCAGCAACGTGTCTTGTAGACGAAGAGAATAAAGACCTGCAATTTTCATTTTAAGTAGGGAAGTTATACAGGAAGGTAGCAGACCAAGTAGTGCCTTATATATAAATCTGAAAAAATGAGACTTCCTCCTGATGGTCAAAGCAGGCCATCCCATCTGAGAGTTATGGTTATCTACGGTTAGTGATAAACCTTAGAGCGGCATGATGCACTTATCAGGTCTGAGATAGATGGAGGAGAGAGGTTATGGATGGCTTTGAAGGTATGGAGGAGAATTTTGAAGATGGACGTGAATTTAACTGGGAGCCAGTGAAGCTGCTGGAGAACCGGGGTGATGTGGTGAAATGAAGGGGTTCTGGTGATAATACGGGCTGCTGAATTCTGGATGAGTTGCAGTTTATGAAAGAGTTTGTTGGGGAGACCATAAAGAAGTGAACTGCAATAATTGAGACGGGAGGCGGCGAGGCTGTGGAAATCAGTTTTTAAGTTTAAATTACAAAAGTTGAAGCCACGTGGTGATTTTAGTTAATACTGGCTGGCAGTCAGCCAAAGCAGAAAGATGGTGTCCGCACATTCAAGATGGAGACCTGTTTCTGCCCAGAGTCTTTTAGACGTGACACGCTCTGAGCCTGATCACTTCCTGTCTGGTGATGCGCGTGTTGATAAAAGTCGTGTTGAAGACTGAAGATTATCTCTAGCTTTGTTCTGCTGGCATGACTTTACACCACGGCTCTGGCCATTCTCCAGCATGACCAGCACCTGCTAGGGGTTGTATCAACTAGTCGACTAGTCAACTTCACTGCTCTGTAGTGACTTTTTATGCTTTTCATCGACTAGTCGATGTCACGTGATGATGACCGACAAGATGCAGTCCTCGGAAAAGACAGCAGGCGACGAGCCCCTGCGCGTTGGGAGGCGACGAGCAGTGCCAGAGCGGCGCCCCCGTCGTGCGTCGGAAAAAAACACTTGGTCACCCATCGTCAGTTTTAGCCGTTTCAGGTGTGTGACGTCATCAACGACTAGTCAAAGTCGACTTGATTTTCATTACTTGACTGTCGACTTTTAAAAAAATTAAGTCATGCAGCCCCTAGCACCTGCTAGCATAAAGAAGCTAATGTTGTTGAAGCTATGTTACGGACGTGGTGGTTTGTTTTTTGCTGTATTTTTTATACTGTTCATTTTTTTAAGTCTTCCTTTATTAAACTTCTGTTGTGCAAATATAAATTGTGATTTTATTGTTTGGTCACTTGCACAACTATTATCCATGTGGCAGGGGTCAGGTGGTGCTCACTCCTCACCCCCGCCACGTGGACCTCAAGGGATAAACCATCAATCCTGCTCAATGGTCTACTTTCAGACAGCGGGAGGGTTAAAGACCAATTTCATTAAGAAACCATTTTTTACTTTTTGTTTTTGAAATATGATCGGTCACTTTGAGTTTAACGTGCAGGCTGAACATGAAAATAGTCTCCTACACCTGTCTCCTGCATTAGCTTCTGATAGAAAACAGACGGTGAAACTCTAGGATTAGAAATGCCTGACAGTTGCACATCACATCGCAAAATTAGCGTTCATGGAATCACCTCATGACGGGGAAGGCTGTTGTTGATTTAGCATCCAGGAAACAGCGAAGAACAGAAGCTAACATTTAGCGTTAGCTGCTCCACCACACAGCAGAACTCCTCCTGGCTTGTGTTATTTGTGGAGATAAAACATCAACGTTACAGAGTCGGTGGCACAGTCACAATGCTGTTAGCCAATCAGAGGAGAGACGTCCAAATATCAGGAAGTAAGACTGTAAACCCTGCCATCCGACTAACTTCTGGTACCTGAAACAGAAGCGCCAGAGCTTCTTTTTCCACAGCAGTCAACTCAGAGCGTTCACTTAGAGGCCACTGAAAAAAAAAACGAGTGAGCCTGATCTTTAAAAGCTTTTAAAGATATTTTTGTAAATTATCCTGATAAAATCTAAATCCTGATTTCAGTGTAAAAAATGTGCTGATATCTTTGCCATGTGACCCGCCCCGGGCTAGAATAAATCTGTGTGCAGACATTTGCATTCAAGATTGATTATGAATCCTGACCGTACGTACCGGCGTCGCACCTGCACCTTATTTTTTATCATAACTGCTTTGTAGTTACATGTTTGCACCTCAGGAGAAGAAAACTCTTCAAAGAGACTTAATGAGCTTTAATCATCCCGTCAAAGTCTAGCGTAAAGACGGCCCAGAAGGCTTCACTGACAGCGACACAAAAACCCATGACTGTGCGGTTTCTTTGCACCAACAAATAACCGAGTGCTTCAAATAGCAGAGTTATACTTTGTCACCCAGCGATAAATGAAAGGAATGCTTTTAAAAGCTGCTTCTTCGTTCTTAGACATGATGTTCTGATGAAATCAGGGGATTAGCACAGCTCAGATTGCCTTTTATCTGTGAGTTGGCCCCCACGTGGCCCCCTTTCTGGGTTTAATTTAATAAGGTCAGTAATAATCGTACGGGCTAGCAGAGGGGTAAGCAACCCCCTCGGGGCCCACTGGAAGGCACGAGACCTCCAGAAGGTGCCACAAGCTTCACGGGTTGTCTGGTCACGCAGCTCGTGAGGTAGCTGTCCTCTTCCATCCCTCCCACTTGTCTCACGATACCCGGATTGGCACGGCATGTGTTCCAGCCCCATTGTCAGCTCTGGCCCTGATAAAACCGTCCGTCCTGCAGGCGAGGCTTGTTGGGAAATTAATTTGATCTAATTACGCCGATGTCACCGTCGCCTTTCAGCGTGTAATTAAAATCTGACCTGCGAGCTTCATGCTTCCGTCCTTTGATAGGGCAGAAAAACTGGATTAAACAAATTAAATATTAGGTGTTGGTTGTGTTCGGAGGCTGATTGTGTGTGTCTCGTCTCTCCGTGCAGCGCACTGTGCAGAAAAACGCCAAGTATGTGTGCCTGGCCAGTAAGAACTGTCCCGTGGACAAGAGGAGACGCAACCGCTGCCAGTACTGCCGCTTTCAGAAGTGCCTGAGTGTGGGCATGGTGAAGGAAGGTAAGGAGCATAATGCCTGACACCAGCACAGCAGCATCCAAGTCAGATTTTATTCCACCAGAGTCCAAAAGATCCCAGATCTCAGAAATCCATGCAGCAGCCTGGAGGAAAGTTGTTAAAAGGTTCAAACTCTGAGAGTTAACCAGCTCTCTCGCCAGCAGCGACGTTCTGCAGACATGGATGTAATTTTCACTTTAGAAGTGGGGGGGAAACCGGCTTCAACACAAATGGTTGTTGGTCCTAGAGCTCACCCAGTGTCAATTTAATATAGCGTAATATTGTTTTTGGATGGTAAAAAGTGCAGGGGTCAAAACTTGACTTTGGAAAAAGTGGGGGGATATGTCCCCCCTGTCCCCCCCCAAAATTACGGCCATGTCTGCAGAAGAGTCGGGCTGATGTTCACACCGCCCTGAGGTTTCTCACCTGTCTAGTCCCACCCACATGCAGATGTATGCAAACACAGCCACACAGGAACGGCGAGCGAGCGGCTCCACTGCCACCTGCTGGCTCCACGCTTCCTGTGTGTTGGGTTATGTCAGGGAGCTTCTGAGGCTCTGAAGCATTCCCACCACCACAGCTGACTGTTTGTGTCCGTCTGCTTTCTGCTTCCCAGTGGTCCGTACGGACAGCCTGAAGGGGCGCAGAGGCCGCCTGCCCTCCAAGCCAAAGAGCCCCCTGCAGACAGAGGCGTCGCCCCCCTCCCCACCTCTCAGTCTGCTCTCTGCTCTGCTTAGAGCTTACTCCCACTGCACGCCCCGTGAGCTCGACTACAGCCAGGTAGCTTCAGCTCCTCGTCCCACAGGTTTACTCAAAAACTCGATTTTTCTCTTTTCATTTTTCTCCTTTTTGTCTTTTTGGTGACACAGTTCAGCGCCGCCGACCCGCCCTCCTCGTCCTCGGACGCAGAGCACATCCAGCTCTTCTACAGGCTCCTCACCATCTCGATGGAGGCCACGCGCTGCTGGGCTGACAGGCTGCCCGGCTTCTCCGAGCTTCAGCACGACGACCAGAACCTGCTGATCGATTCTGCCTTCCTGGAGCTGTTTGTCCTGCGACTGGCTCACAGGTTCATTCTTCTAAACTCACACATCAGACATCTCAACAGGCATTCCTGCACCCTCGAGCGTTAGATCGCGGCGTGTGAGTGTGCCGACGGAGCTGTGCGCTGCTGTGTTGGTGGATCTCCAGAGTGGGAGGAGTGCAGCTGAGTAATCGCCAAATGAACCGAATCATGAATGGAGTCTTTAGCTATGACAGCAGCTACGCCCACAGATTTCCGCTCCGCTGATATCTGACGCACAGAGGGCTCGTGTGTGTGTGTGTGTGTGTGTGTGTGTGTGTGTGTGTGTGTGTGTGTGTGTGTGTGTGTGTGTGTGTGTGTGTTCTGCAGACTAAAACTGTGCAGACTTTGTGAACTGACAGGATCTTATCTGAAATTCAGTCAGCTGAGTGACTGAGAGGGGTTGTTATGGAAGGAAATACGTCCTCAGTTCAGCTGTGTGTGTGTGTGTGTGCGTGCGTGCGTGCGTGTGTGTGTGTGTGTGTGTGTGTGTGTGTGTGTGTGTGTTTGTGTGTGTGTGGACCTGGGCATCTCACTCGTGGATACCTGCGGTGCCGTTATGGCCGCCCCAGCCGGTCGGCCCCAGAGTTGCCCCTGGTTACCACTCCGCTCTTGTTCGGCATGCGGCTGGTTAAATTTATAGTCGGGGGTGTCGCGCTACAAGCTCATCCCTTTGTCTGAGCTGTCGTCTAGGGCAGGAGACCAACACGGCGAGGCACACAAGAGCTCTTACTCACACTCGCTGACGGTGAGGAACTTTTTCTCTCCTCCCAGTGGAAGTCCAGGTGCGGGGTGGGTAGAGGATTGGTGGCGGCATCACAGTCGCAGCAGGAGGGGGGACTCTGACTCACGCTGAAGGGTGGACTAGGCCTGCATCAAATACACACACACACACACACAACTCCTGTTCCCATCAGAAGAACTCCCACAAAAAGAGAGGAGTTGAGGCACAAACGCAGCTCTGTCCTAAGTTCTGTCCTTGCTCTCGTCTCGGTTTGACCCGGCGTTGAACCGAGACGCCCTGCAGAGCGTTTTATAAGCGTGTGTCTGTGTGTCGGGGGAATCTGTGTGTGTTCAGGGTGCGCAGAGCAAATTTGCTTTGCTCTTCTGGGACGACATGACTGTAAGCCGCCGGGTCACCCAACAGTTTCTGTGGTTATAGGCTGATTACCGTGGCGACAGCGTAGTCAGGGCGAGTGGAATGTGTGGCAGGCACCCAGCTGTGCTGGTGTGCGTGTACGTGTGCATCTGCTCGCGTGCTTCTCTGCCAGCCGGCCCGAGCAGCTTTCATCGTGCTCTACTAAAACGCAGGACCGAGAACGCTCACGCTTATTTATCCAGCACGGTTTCAGTCTGAGTCACTTACAACTGCTGCAGCAAATTCACCTAATAAGCCTGTTTATGGCCTGTGAGACAAAAGCTGAGTGAACACCACACGCACGGACGTAATTTTGGGGGGGGGACAGGGGGGACATGTCCCCCCCACTTTTTCCAAAGTCAAGTTTTGACCCCTGCACTTTTTACCATCCAAAAACAATATTACGCTATATTAAATTGACACTGGTAGAGCTCTAGGACCAAGCGGAAAACAACCGTTTGTGTTGAAGCCTGTTTCCCATTAGAACATACTGTAAAGACCCCCCCCCCCCCGTGTCCCCCCCACTTCTAAAGTGAAAATTACGTCCATGACCATACGCATGGGTGCGTGGGAGATCATGCACACTTCATGCAGAAAAGCTGCAAATGGGTGTTAAACCTGCAACCTTCTTGCTGCAAGGCAGCAGTGCAACCCCCGTGCAGCCAAGTGGGCTTATAAAACAGTCGGTAGGGTATAATCTCAATCATGACAGTGCAAAATTTAATCTGTTTAGATTATTTTAAGGTATTAATATAAATGTATAATTTATGAACAATAAAACATCATAAAAGTGCCATGCTGTAGTTCTTTTTTAAAACACAGAGCAGTTTTGTTTACCTGTTTTCCCGCTAGCGGGAAAACAGGTAAACAAAACTGCTCTGTGTTTTAAAAACGAACTACAGCATGGAGTTAGAGATACGACACAGCAAGAACACACCTAAGATGATCATAAAAATGCATTTAGTTCATGCAACCAAGGACGTAATTTTCACTTTAGAAGTGGGGGGGACACAGGGTGGGGGGTGGGGGGGGTATCTTTACAGTATGTTCTAATGGGAAACAGGCTTCAACACAAACGGTTGTTTTCCGCTTGGTCCTACAGCTCTACCAGTGTGAATTTAATATAGCGTAATATTGTTTTTGGATGGTAAAAAGTGCAGGGGTCAAAACTTGACTTTGGAAAAAGTGGGGGGGACATGTCCCCCCGTACCCCCCAAAATTACGTCCATGCATGCAACATTTTGTAAATATTTACAACAAAATAAAATCCTGCAACAGATGAATAAACAACATTAAATGCACGTTTATTCATCATTAAATGCTTTAAATTTGGGAAAAGAGCAAAATGCCGTTTGCTACCAAGTCAGATTTGCGACTCTGAGATGTTTCGCCTTCTGCTGATGGTGTGAGGAGAAGAACTCCTCTCTCTCTGCGACATTTGTAGTTTTTTATCTCCTGATATCCGAATGGATCACATATGCAACTTGTTACTTATACATGTTAGTTTCGTTATTTAGCATCTTAAATGATGCAGAGCACGACTGAATAAGTGTTTGATGTAAATCTGCATCATTTTGGGTTTGGGTCGCTTGGGTGGATGCGGCGCCCTGCTCATGGGAGTTGATCTGAACGTCTGCGGGGTGAAAGCGAATAATTAGAAACACCTTTAACCGCTAAAGCAACGTTTGCACAGTTTGTAATTAGTGGCTTCCAGGTCGTTCCCCCCTTCGGTTTTTATTCGCTCAATCATCTGTTTCTGTTTTCTCCCCCTTTTGGCCGTCGTCCTCCCAGAAAATCCTGTTACCTTCATTTTATCATCAGATCTCCCCGGCGTCATTTATCGTTTCCTCCCGTTCCTCCTCTGCCAACAGAAATGAGAAAGTAGGATGTTGCGTGTCAGGAGTAACCGATGGTGAAACACATCTGAGAAGCTTTTGCATTTCCTCGTTAAAAGCTTTGTGTTTCCATAGCCAGGGAGCATTAAAGCTGCAACAGTTTACCTATCTGCAAAACACACACACACACGCACACACGCACACACACACACACACAGAGCGGCAGCTCTGCCCTAACCCTTCACCCCGCCCTGCCACAAGGAAACAGGCATGTTTAAATGCTGTAATTTGAAAAACACGAGCTCAATCAGCTCCACGCCTGCGTTTGATGTGTGCTCATAACTTCAGGTTTTTTTCTTTTTATTGAAAGTGTTTTCCCTCCAAAGCATCTCAACTGTCCATCAGGGGAAAAAGAGCTGAGGAGCCTCTCCTTCTGTGTCGTAGGTCCATCCTGTTGGAGGACAAGCTCGTCTTCTGTAACGGCTTGGTGCTGCACCGGTTCCAGTGCCTTCGCGGCTTCGGAGAGTGGCTGGATTCCATTCGCGACTTCTCCGCTCACCTCCAGAGCCTAAACTTGGATGCCACTGCCTTCGCCTGCCTGTCCGCCCTCGTCTTGCTCACAGGTAACCGCTGAGTTTAAAAATCACCAAAAGAGACTAAAATAGCCACCACAAACCCTCCCCTCTCCCTTCCTCTCTTTGATCCAACGCCACGGTCACACAAGCCGCTTTGGCAGAATGACACCGGTTCGTTTATAAAGGAGCTTAGCTGGTGAGGTTTCCCGTGCCGCCGATGCGTCTGCTTACTCAGAGCATCTCTGCCTGAAACGAGAACCTGATACCCAGAAGCACCTGCTGCACCTGCCACACACCTGGTCCTCTAATCAGTGCTCAGAACTGGAGCTTTCCTCCGTGGACGCACGTCAGGAACAAAGCAGAAGATGCAACAATCAAGAAGCTTTAGGAATGCAGGACAACCGAGGTGCCAAGGTGACGGGGGGATCGTGCAACACACTCATGTGCTAACATCACATTCTGCACCCCAGAGTCAAACTCTGTGCATTATTGTGTAAACATAGAATCCCCCACCCCCATACTTCCATCTCCTGTACCTCACCCTGCCCTCCCCTCCTCCTTTTCCTCCCTCAGCTCTCTCCCTCTCTTTCTCTCTGGGGGAGCACTTAACTCTGTTCCTGATCGACCAGCCCACTGTGGGGCATGGTTCTGGAATGGCATCTGCCGGCGCTCTCAGTGGCGCTCTGCCACCTCGGCGAAGCACACAGCCTCGGCCGAGCCTCCAGAGCCACCGGGCGATCGACCACTTCAGAGTGGCCTGTGCAGAAAGGAAGTCATTGATTTGTCCCCCAGGAGCTCACGCACACACAGAAAGAAGGAGTGTAGGGGGAGCGGGGAAGAAAGGCAGGAAAGCAGAAGTGTACAAGAGGTCTCTGAAAGGCTCGGTGGAAGGAGGGCTTGAGTAACTCTGCAGCCGCAAACACCACAAACAATAGAGTCGCATAAACAAACAATAAATATGTTTCCAATAATGGATTCCTCAAAGAGAGTCTGGTCTAAGAGGCAGCCTCCCTGCAGCACAGCATGTGTGTGTGTGTGTGTGTGTGTGTGTGTGTGTGTGTGTGTGTGTGTGTGTGTGTGTGTGTGTAACCGTGTGTGTGTGTGTGTGTGTGTGTGTGTGTGTGTGTGTGTGTGTGTGTGTGTGTGTGTGTGTGTGTAACCGTGTGTGTGTGTGTGTGTGTGTGTGTGTGTGTGTGTGTAACCGTGTGTGTGTGTGTGTGTGTGTGTGTGTGTGTGTGTGTGTGTAACCGTGTGTGTGTGTGTGTGTGTGTGTGTGTAACCGTGTGTGTATATGTATGTAACTGTGTGTGTGTGTGTGTGTGTGTGTGTGTGTGTGTGTGTGTGTGTGTGTGTGTGTGTGTGTGTAACCGTGTGTGTGTGTGTAACCGTGTGTGTGTGTGTGTGTGTGTGTGTGTGTGTGTGTAACCATGTGTGTGCAAATATGGTGGGGTGGGTGAGTTGGGGGTCACCCTGTTCTCCTCAGACTTAGTGTCACATTAAGTCTGATCTGAGCGCCACTGGAGTTGCTATAGGCAGTCGTGTGTGTGTGTGTGTGTGTGTGTGTGTGTGTGTGTGTGTGTGTGTGTGTGTGTGTGTGTGTGTGTGTCTAATTGATTTGGCTGCTCACAAGGCCCAATAATCAGCTAATTCTTGTGCACTTTTGAATTTATTGTCCAGTTTGCGAGTTGCAGAGCCTTTTTGTTCATCTGGGTTAATGCATTAAAACAACTGGCGCACATCATATTTATGGAAAGGTTTTGCGTGTTCACTATGAGCTGTGTGAGTGTGTGTGTCTGTACTTGTGTGTGAGGCTTATTGGGTTAGGCTGTGTA